ATATTTTTCAAAAAATAATATTAACATTATTTTTAAAAATGACAAAAATCGTTTTCTTTTACTTCAGGATATTTTCTCTCATGATCTTGACCATAGCTTCTCAATTAATTCACAATTTTTAAATTTTAATTTTAAAAATCTTTTAAATTTTTAAATATTAAAAATTCAGTCATTATAATTCCTCAATTTATCTGAGGTATAATAGAATTATCATTCTAATAACTACCCTTTAATTCCTATTAGTTTTAATATTTTAAATTTATAGAATTTAAATTTATTGTGAAAATTTTGAATCATGAATAACTTCATATCCTATAATCTCTTTTCCTAATCTCATAATCCTTTTTTTTTTAATTTCAAAATTGTTATGCATCATGTTTTAAATTTATTTACATTTAATTTTATTTATTTATTAGTATAGTAGATTTTCTCATTCTAATAACTACCCTTTAATTCTTTTTAACTTAAATATTTTAAATTTTAAATTTCTAAGATTTAGATTTAAATCCAAAATTTTTAAATCAGTAATAATTTCCACATCCCAGGATCTCTGTTATTTAATATCGTATTCTCTTTATTTTTAGATTTCAAAATTTGTGATGAAATATTTTATAATTATTTACATTTAAATTAAATTAGTTAATTGGTATAATATTTTTTATCCTAATAATTACCCCTTAAATTTAATCCCCTAATTTTTATGTCCATGTTTTTGCACATTGCTTCCATGTTCACCTCCATTGATATCTCAATTTGTAGATGTGTCTCCTCGATACCTTTTTGAACTATCATGATGATTGTTCATCCTAACAGAATCCTTACCCAAGGAAAATAATAAGGGAGAATTTTACTTAAAGATTAAAGAAGTAATATATCTTCAGGTGGGTTTTTAAAGACTCCACCATCGCCCGTGATCGGAGCTTTGTCGACGATGACAGCCACTAGACCTCCGTCGCTGAGCTTCAACAGCCAATTCACTAAAAGATTTTAGACCACCAAGTCACTCAACCCTTCAATTATATAATACATAAAACTACACACACACACACACACACACACACCACACCACACATATAAATAAACCTGTTTCAAACAACTTGATATTACGTTATTTGTTAATTGTGTAACTTTATTTGTTAATACCTTAATAGAACTTATTAATTACTTAACTTTCTTTGTTAACCGTACAACTCTTGCACACATAAATAAATTACTTGTTACCTGTAACATTAACTATACTTGTTAATATCTTAATAGGACTTATCAGTTACTTAACTCTCCTTGTTAAGTTCGTGACTCCACAAATAGAGTTACATGACTTATTAATCACGTAACTGTCGTTGTAATATCTTAATAGGACTTATTAATTTCTTGAATTTACTTGTGAAATTCATGACTCCTTCAACTGAATTGCATTACTTTTTAATCATGTAACCTTTACCTATTAATTACACAATGTATTTGTTTAATTGCATAGCTTGACTAGTTAATATCATAATAAGATTTGTTTAACTCTTGTTTCGAAAAAATAACCAATTACTTGTTAATTACAAAAACTTTACCGGTTAATTCCTTAACATACTTATTTAATTATCTATTGTCACTTATTAATGAATATATAATTTACATAAAAAATTGAGTTTGTCAAATAACGAAAGTGATGACAGTCGGAGCTCTAGCGACAGTGGCCCAGCAAACGGTGGGAGCTCTAGCAACGGAGGTCCAATGGCTACTATTGTCGACGAAGATTCAATCATCGGTGACGGTGGTTGGTGATTTTTAAAAAAAAATATTTGAATTGGGGATATTTTGATATTTTTTATTTTCAACTTATTTTTAATTTAATCCCATAGAACTGAATTGACATTTTAAAATATTTAAAACTCACCTAAAAATATGTGTTTCCTTTCCTTACAATAAAATTCTCACAAAATACAAGGCATTGAAGATACCCAACCACATAAAGGTGATTGTATGAATGAGGGGATTATACACTACCCTTTGTCTCCTCCACAATGCCAACCTTCGTCGACCCCACTAGAAGGTAAATTAATATATGAGATTTGTTATCTCACTGTGAGTGCATTGTCAGAAATATAAAATTTCTTGATGAAGTCATGAACACCTGTTGCCTTTTTCTATTATATATTGTTATTTTAAAAATTTTTATATTACTCATTTTACTTGTAGATCTTCTTTTTCAGTGTATTGATGAAGAGTACTAAAAATTTATTTGCCTTCATATCTACATATTGTAAAAAAAAAAAAAAAAGTTCCCCTCATGTTAGAAAGTAGGCCTTGATATATAATTATATACATAAAGATTTCATTTTTTGATCAACGATGCAAGTCTTTTATACCCTAAGTGCATTATGTTGAAAATCATTCTATTGATTTGCAACATTCTCTCTCATACCCTCACTTTCTTTCTTCTATTTATATATGGATTATCTCTTGAGTCTTTTTTGTTATTCTCTGTCTGCATTATTTTATTTTAATCTGTAAACCATTATCACATTTGGAAAACATAAAAATTTCTTTGCAATTTTCTCTAAAAATTCTTTCTTAAGAAAGCGTTAAGTTTTATAACTTCACTTTCTACACCCTGTCATATGGAGTTGAAGCCGTCTAATTAACTCTTATAAATTATTGAACTATGTTTTATCATTTCACACGTTAATAAAATTAATTACATATGACTTATATTAAAAAAAAAATACTTTCATACATACTTACTATTTAAACTAACGACACATGAAAAACCATGCATAACGAACGCACAAAGCAAGACATGTCATCGATCTGCGAGACGTATACAACAGACTACGATTTATTTCTTCAAAAGACGTCGAGATCATAGTCCAACGATCGAAAACAAAGATACAAATATGAAGTGATCGATCTTAAAAGCGTTTGTCGACGTGGAGCTCTTGCTTGAAGAGCCTCGAAGCAGCAGGTCTATCCAAGTACCACGCGAGTTGTCCGTCCAGAGGTGAGATGAATTTAGCAGGAATCTTGCGAGGAGCCTGTGGATCAATTTCTTCATTGAGAGCAGAATAAACTGCATTAGCATTATCTTCACCAGTCACACCATTGCTATGTAGGAACTAGAATTGATCACCGGGAAGAGTCAGAGTCAGTCGCGTCTCGGTCTCGTGCACCACGTGAGTCACCCACCTGTCCCTCTCATCAAGAAACGGATTGTTGGGGATCAGAGAACCCACGCGTCCGTCTGCCTCCATGCCCAGCAACATCAGGTCGAACTTAGGATGGCCCGATGCCGCGGATCTTAAATATCCTCTTTCAGTCCACTCTCTGAGGTTCCTCGAGTAACGTTCGGCTGCTTCTTCCTTAGCTGATATGTCGTAGTCAATGGTAAAAACATTTAAAAGTCCCAGCTTTTGCACCTGCGCAATAACATTCACGCTACATGTTTAGATGTATTTCACGTAATGGAACCGATGAAATTAAGCTCGATAGTACCATGGAGAGAAATTCTTCGTAGGCGACCCTGTGGAGGATCTCGTTGGGGAAAAATCGCGTTTTCCTTAACGTATAACTCGGCAAGAACACTTCCTCTTCCACCCAAAAAAAACTGCCATTTGGACCAATCTATTCTGTTGCTGTATTCAGATTTCACCAGATTGCTGAAAATCCCAACCAAATATAAAACAGTGTCATCAAACTATATATATACATTCATATCGGAGGTGTACGCACGTCGTTTTATTGATTTAATTTTTGCAACAAAACAAAACGCAGTGACCTGAGGAATCTGATGGAAGAGGTATCGGCCAGGGCAACCGTGAAGGATCCTTTATCGTCGATGGCCTGTCGGGAGAGTTCAACGACATCATGAGCCAGAGATTCATGAAGATGCTCCCACGAGAACACTTCCACATTCTTATAAACTCTGCCATTCTCATCACTCTGCAATGCCTTCACTGTGCCAACCGACCTACTGGATTTCAGGGGTTGGTCCTGGAAATGGAATTTCTTTGTCGCTTGGGGCGGCAGAATCAGCGACGACGTCGCTGGGGACAGTACTGAGTGTGACTTTGGGACACTCAAGGGCCTGTTTTGGGTTTGTGGGATGCATAGAGAAGAAGCGAGGAAAACAGTAGGCAAGGCCATGTTTCTTAGAGTGTATGTGTTGAACGAAATATGAACACTATCGTTTTGAGCTCGAGTGGCTTGTCATCACAATGGCGTCCGTATTCATATCTCAATATTATATTCTTTTCTCGGTCTCGGAAGCAAAGAACTTCAAGAAAAGCACATTCAAATTTTGGATCTTTTGCCGCAATCACAAGCAATTTGATATGTGGAAAAACAGTTTATGCATGCTTTAGTTATCCGTTCTTCAGACATAAGCTAAGAAAAGAGTTTATCCCCTCGACTTTTTTCAAGTTGAAGTTAGATTTAGCCTCCTTGACTCTTGAGGATGCAGGGTCACTTCATTTTAATTAATTTATTGATGGTTTTAAAAGACTACGGAACTTTTCGAAATATAATATAATTATTGATAGTCTTAAAAATACCATAAAATTAAGTAATAACAAAACAAAATAGCTAGCGGGAAGTTGAAGGAAATTAAATCAAAGATTAAGAAAATCCAATAGTTTCAATTATTTTATTTAAAGAAGTATAATAATCTAACATTAGAGGAGCATATTTATTCATTTTTAGCATATATTCAAATAATTTTTTCTTGTTATGATTTTATGATTTTTTTATAAATTTATGTATTGATATTATTGATAATTTATTCAACAATTCCTGTGCGTAGGGTTTGGTGGAGGGGAGGGGAGGGGTTTAACTTTAATGAGCTTTTATTTTGTTGAAAAGGAGAGGAGGGGCATTTTAATTATTCTTGTTTTGTTTGGAGGGAAGGTAAGGCAATTATAAAATAACAAATACACCCTTATGTTATTTTACTTTTTTCTTTTATAAAAAGAACTATTTATATTAGAAATTATTTTTATATTTCTGAATCTAAATTTTTTATCTCATTTATTTATAATATTCAAGCAGGAAAGTATTTATGATAAATTATTGTAATATTTTTAAAATATTATTTGATTAATTTAAACATATTATCTCACTAATTTTACTGTACTTTTTAGTATAATATATATATATATATATATATATGAGGGCTAGAATACAAATATGCGGTGCGCAGCTAATAGCAGGTAGTGAATAACATGTAAGAATTGGTCTCGCGTTTTTTATTTAATTGAAGCAATAATAATTTTAGATTGTAATAAAATTAACAATAAGGATTGGTTTTAGCCAAAGTTATTAATCTTTTATAATGTAGTGAATTAATATTTAAATTTTTATTAAAAAAGGTATTTGTATTTAGTACTCGAACGTGTTTTGAATAACATTACATGCCTGTTAGTAATAAGAAAATGTATTAAAGTTAATAAAAATATTTTAATCATAAAATTTATCTCCTTGCAAAAATTTTACCCCCAAATTGGAGGAGAATGATAAGAGGAGGGGAAAGAGAAAATTTGTCTCTCCCAATTTTTGCAACCAAGCAACTTTCCTTCCTTCCTTCCTATCAAAAATTCTCAACTAAATCAAACCTAAAAGATATTGATCTAAAACATACTATGTTTTAGATGGAGTTGGTATAACCATAACAAGAAATAAAAACCAATCTATCAAGCATTTAATATAAATACATTCTTGGACTTGGATTTAGACTTATATAGTTAAGAATGTAAATGCTTGGTAAGAACAGATAACACTTTTTGTAATATAAAGCGAGGTTTCGTTTTAATTTTTAAAATATAAAAGTATGCTGGTAATAATAAATTTTCAATGGTTTTCAAGACTGATTGATTTGATATGGAAAGCCATGTGGAAGAGAGGAGTGAGAAAGCTGCGTGAAGTCAAAAGAGGATTATCATGCTGGGGACCCACTAAGCATTTAACAAAGATAGATGGCGCATTAATGTCGAACAATGAGAAATTAAAATTGAAATGTGCAATAATAAAAATATTTAAAATCCAGTTTAGAACATTCACAAACCTTCCGCAAAAAATTTGAGGGCAGAAATTATTGTTAACACATTTATTTACCACCACAAAAATGACATGGGAAGAGATTTTTTTTTTTGAAGAAAAAGGAAAATTAATATGCACATTTTTCCCTTGAATTTAAGGGTTAAGGGATAAAAGTGTCTTAAAAATTTTTAAAAATAAGCATCGGATATTCTTATTTTTTAATTGAAGTAATGTTACTTCAAAATTTTTAAAAAAGGTGTAATGTCGCTTTATCATTAAATTTACAAAACATTGATAGTTAAATCTAATGTTTTACTTATTCTTTGCATTTGACTCTCTCTCTATCCGCTCCTTCGCTCCAATTCGTTCCCTCCCATACTTCACCGCTCACCAAGTTCTACGATGTCAACGACTTCCATGGTAGCAGTTGAAGAACCTAAAGGCAAAGACTCTATTTCAAAGAAGGATATGAGCTCTGCATGTAGGAAACACAACTTCTAAAAGAGAAAATCATCCAATTGTGCTACATTGCTTGCCCAACTAACCGTTAAAACACTATGTTTCCTGCTGCCCATTCACCATCGAAGACGATATTCCTGCTTTCCCCAGCGCTCTACTGCTTCTTCAATGGCGATTTCCTCCTCTACACCCAGCCCAAACAATTGTGTCAAAATCAGAAGTGAATGCCAAATATTTGTACATGCTCGATTGACGACATTCATTATCACCTTCCTCATTTTGATGCCTTAAAATTGAAGGACCAGCTTGATGACGTCAATGATAGCAATGCCAATTATCATTTTGATGACGTCAAGGATGAGATAGATGGGTCTCAATCTAGTGATGGTGATATGGGTGGTTGCGATGGGGATGACTACAAGGATATGGGTTATTATGATAGGTATGATTTGGACGATGAGCTCATTTCATGGTCTGTGAACACTAAATTGGGAGGCAGAGGATGAGGAAAAGCACATTTTTGAACATGAAAAATTCCAAGAAGTCACTTTATCTATTTATAATGCCTGGGTGTGTTCATGGCAAGCATGGGCAAGGTCTTAAGCACAATTACTAGCTTTTAAGCACAAGATATTTAGAGACTCATATTCAAGAAACAGTCTTAAATTGGGGTTTAGTTGTGATTGATCCATAGGATAAAAAAGCACATCTAGTCTCCGGTCTTCTTCCTACATATTCTCCTCATCACCATCGATATGCTCAACCTTAAATCTCAAATCTCAGACAAACCAACAATGCCATGCTCAACCTCACCCATTGTTGACCTTAGATCTTAAATCTCAGACTTATTGAAGTTGTCGGTGAGCCTTAGGTGTTCTAATGGACCAAGATTTAAGGTTTGGTATCTGTTTGATTCTGTTCTTTAACTCTCTCCAAGTTTCCCCTTTTTTTCCAGATCTTTATGACCTCAACATGATGTCACACCAGAAGCAAGCCAAAAAAGCATACTGCCAAGCATGAATTCGACAACTAAGCATGACAAGAGAGAGGAAGGAGAGAAGGATGAGGGAGAGAGAGACACAATGTCCACGTATGCAAGTTTTTGTTTTCACATGAGAGTGTGAAAATAGTTAATTATTACTTAAAACCATAATTAGCTAATCCTTTCTTTTCATTAAGCAACTTAGGTTCCTTATGATACATTTACCCCTTTCTATCACTTCAACCAATCCTAATACACCCCTTTCACAACTTCACCCTTATTTCTCTTTTAGTTTAGAGCTAATTTAAGTTATAACTTCAAAGTTTTATTATTTAATTCTAAACTAATCGCAAAATCTTAAATTAATTCTGGAGAACATTTTCATTATCAAAGGGTAAGAAACAAATCCCTTAGAAATTTTCGATTCAATTTCTTTATAATTTATACTAAAAGACATTGGTGTAGAATCAAATCTAAGAACGGTACAAAACTTATCCAGTAAGCTATTGGTCAAAAACTTCTCCCAAGCTTCTAAGAATTTATGCCCTAGTAGATACTTAGCTTCCTCTCTTCTCCTTTCGTGCTTCTCTTCCTTTTCTCCTCAAAAATTCATGAGCTTCCACATCTTCATTACTCAAATTTTTGTGCCATGCCCCACAATGCAGCATAAGCAGCACTATTCGTGGCATGTGATATAGTGAGAAAACTCTTTACCATGCACATCTATTTTACTTTGAAATACAATCTTTTCACCCATATCTACTCATCCAAGATGTCAAGGAATCAAATTACTACATTGTCATCCAAGATTCTAATTCTCACTAATTACTAATTTACTCTTGACTAGCAATTTCAAACTTAAGAAATCATGATGTTACACATAACCTTCCTCAACTTCTATACCACCTAGGACTCTTACTTTCTATAACACCTTAAAACATTCTTCCAATTTTTTAGCTTAACTATGGTAGAATAGAGTTTACCATGATAAATAAAAGATAACTAATTCCTTTTAAAATAATTTGTAAATTTAAAAGTAATACCATGATAGAAAAGAGTGAAACATAAATCATAGAATATAAACTAATTTTTAAAAATGACTACTATGGTAACTAGAATTTAGCTTGTTAAACATACACTTTTAAGAGTTAGGATCCCAAGTATTTATAAATAAGAATAAGTGTGAAAGGTCCATGTGAACTAATCCCGTATATAATCTAAAACCATACAAAAAATAAAATAGGAATTTAGAAGCTATTATACATTATAGAAACTTCTGTCCACTTTACAGCCAATCAGATAATACATAGCAATTATCTTTGCTACTTATGCACAATAAAAACTATAGTTAAATTACAACTACCCAACATAATTTATATAGAGAAAATTAATATAAATTCATCTAACATTTGGCTTTAGTTTACACAATACAATATCTTTATAAGATTGTCCTCCCACATGCCATATAAGCCAAAATATCACTTTCTCACACTTATGCTCCTTACAAATACAAACCAAAGCCAAAATCTATAAATAGACCAATTGGTCAAATTCAACAAATAAATCAAAACGCATTGCCCAAATCATGCCCTTTTCAGAACATCCAACCTTATCAAATATCATTAATGCCTCAATAAATGCAAAGATATTTTTTAACAATACATGGTTTACAGTTATCCCAAACATACAACTAGTATAAACTATTTAAAGAGGC